TCTGTATTGTATAAAGCTGTCCTTGAGACATCGACTTCTCGCACTGTTGAGGGCCTCTCCAGCAGTGCGAGAATAGAGGTCCTATTTATCTCTTTCCTGTGTACGCCTTGTGGGGGCCGACTTGGCATTGGGGGCCGTTGGCCCCATGGGGGCCATTCGCCCTATGGGGGCCAAATGCCCTTTTCGCCCCATGGGGGCCAAACACCTGATGGGGGCCATTCGCCCCATCGGGTGTTGTCGGCCGGGAAGCGTATTGTAACAGTCATTGTAACAGCCCTGCTTCCCGGGTGACATCTACAGTATGGAATAGTTAAAGAAAGCTCATCTGTCGCACCTCGTCCAACTCATTCTCCTACCGATTTAGGATTTTAAGTCATAGAGCGAATGAGGAGGCTATGATAGAAGCAAGACTAAGCTCTCAAATTCGACAATCCCTTAATCTCACGGATATATGTCTACCACCACAAATCAATAACGCACTGTCAGAGAGCCTTGGGGTGGGATCGTTAGACGAAGAGTCAGAGGGTTAAATACGTATCTATATTATATAAAGCTATCCTTAAGATATCGACTTCTCGCACTATTAAGGGCCTCTCTAGTAGTGCGAGAATAGAGGTCCTATTTATCTCTTTCTATATATACCTTATAGGGGCCGTCTTAGCACTTAGGGGCCGTTAGCCCTATAGGGGCTACTCGCCCTAATCGCCCTATGGGGGCCACTCGCCCTAATCGCCCTATAGGGGCTATTCGCCTGATGGGGGCCACTCGCCCCATGGGGTGTTGTCGGCTGGGGAACCCGGGTGAAAGCTAAGCTAGAAGTGGGATAAAGAGATGATTATACTCTATCTGAAAGGTAGAGATATCACTATCATAATCTAGGTAGTAATCTAAATCGGCGGTAGATCAGATCTAGTGATAATAATCCGAGATACAGAGGTACCGGAAAAGGGCTATACCGTACCCTCGTACGTCGCTATTCTTAACGAATAGATCTCTAGGTGCTGGAAACTAGGCTTGATATTTATATAGGATAATACCTCAATCTATATAGTAAAGATCGTCCGAGAATAGTTTAAGAATAGTGAAATATCGACGACAGATTAGCCACCATATTCCTCTGATTTGAACCTAATTAAGAACGTCTAGGCGATCCTTAAGAACTGACTGATTGAGAACTGGCCACACCTTTTAAACGGCGGACGATCTAAGTAGGACTATAATCTACTTACTCAGGCGGTAATTTATGAATGGGACAATTTAGATCAAGAGACAATTGATCGGACGACGATGAGTATAACTGTCAGAGAGCCTTGGGGTGGGATCGTTAGACGAAGAGTCAGAGGGTTAAACACGTATCTGTATTGTATAAAGCTGTCCTTGAGACATCGACTTCTCGCACTGTTGAGGGCCTCTCCAGTAGTGCGAGAATAGAGGTCCTATTTATCTCTTTCTGTGTATACCTTATGGGGGCCGACTTGGCATTGGGGGCCGACTTGGTATTGGGGGCCGTTGGCCCTATGGGGGCCAAGCGCCTGATGGGGGCCAAATACCCTTTTCGCCCTATGGGGACTAAGCGCCTGATGGGGCCATTCGCCCTATCGGGCGTTGTCGGCCGGGAAGCGTATTGTAATAGTCATTGTAACAGCCCTGCTTCCCGGGTGACAATAACATCAAGGGTGGAAAATATGATTTCGGCTAAAGGGTGGTATACTAAGTACTAGGTGGTGGTATACGCGGCGATATCTATATCGATCGATAGCGCGGATCAAGAGGAACTAGATGATGTAATTATTAGAGAGATTCTATTAAGGATGCCTTATTGAAGATAGGTAGTACTCAGCGATAGATAGAATCCGTAGTAATAAGTATCCTTTACGTATCGTATTAACAAGACTCAAAGCTTGAGAGAAGGAAGCTTTCCGTATATAGGAAGCGTACCTTTTCCCCTATAGGCCTAGTAAGCCTAATGTTACGGCACCTGTCCCTGACACCTAATTAGCTTAGAGCCGTCCTAGCGGTCTCTTTACTCCGCTCTTCCACTTAAGCTACAGTGGCGCATAGGGATACTTCTCCCCTACGAGTCACGTGCTCTTCCACTGCGTTTGTGACAGATTCCCTAGGTTATGGCGTTGTTACTGTAATTTGTGTGGAACAGGTATAATTGTGGGTTTTGAAAAAAAGATGGATATGCCTAGACTTTTGCGCACTTGGTGTACCAAACTGCTTACATCGTAATATCGCCTGCATCTTTTTGATGGCTTGCCCCTTCTTCATGACTTTCATGTCGTTGAGCAATTGCCGTCTGGCGTGGGGAATTTGGGTCAGCCGTGATTGACCGGGCCGCCCAGGCCGAAGGATCGATAGGCCCCTCGTTGCGTCGCCGAATGAGACGCCACTGTGTTTCAAGCACGAGCTAACAGCTGAGCTGCACGCTTAAAGAACGCTCATCACAGCCGAGAATGGTGCATTGCGTACACGGCCAACCAAAAAAAATCGAAGAGGAACGCGGTTCACCTTATGCCACTCATGCCACGTCAGCAGAAAGATAGCCAACAGAACGGAGAAAAGCGCTTTGATTGACCGATCTGGGGACTATATCTCAATGCCACAGCCCAGCCTTTGGGTACCTCGCCAACAAGAGATAAGTGTGGATCCCTTCCCATCTCTTCCTCCTTTTTCTTTTTGGAGAGGGGGCTTCCCTCCGAGTAAGTTGCACCGCTCGACCTTTCCTTATCCAAGGGCGCAGTCCGGCTCGATCGCAACCCGAAGAGCCCGGTGAGAAGCCTTCGTCCTTTGCCATAAGTATCCCGTCGTGTGCGTTACCTCTCTCCAGCCGTCTCGCCCTTTCCCGAGACCCAAAGCGCCCTCGACAAGCTATATAAGATGGTCGATGCCCCGCGACGAGAAGAGGCGAGCACGACAGCTCATGAACTCTCTCTTTCCCCCCTCTCTCTCTTTAACCCCTTCTCCCTTGGACCCCTCGCCCTCTTCCCTCTCACATATCCCGGCTGGTGGAGGCCTCCATCAGCCCCCGAGTTCTTGGAGAAGCTGACGGCCAGGTGTGAGGCACTGCAACTCGCCATCGGAAATGTTCCCGGGCAGCCGTCGACCAAAATAGCATTCCCAGTGCAGCTTCACAATGCCACAGCACAAGCCACATCATCTTAGCATCGAGGCTGGAGAGACCGGGGTGATAGTGGCTCACAGCTATCTGTGGGTCACGACTATTCCGGCGATGAGATTATCCTTTGCAGGGAGTATCCGCCCTTTCATCTCTTCATATGATGTCCGCGATAGCGCTCGCTACACATTTTTTTGGTTTCTCTGTCTTATTCCCTATCCGCCACGTCTTATCTAGGATACTACGCGGCTGTTTGGCTTCTTTTCTTATTTTCTGGAGCGGCGGCGCAGGCTTCACGAATCTGCCCCAGTACCGCAAATGTGGGGTCCTACAACTGACAGGTTACGCATCTGTCTCATGACACCATTCTCGCCCTTTCCATCCGCCACAAAATGCCATTGTTGTGAGGCCTTAGTGCCGGCAAGCTCGCCAACTTACAGCGAGCTGTGGGCCGCAAAATTTATTTCCGTCTCATCGCCTTCCAGGAGGAGATAAAAAAGGCGTCGCCGGAATGGGTATGCTGCTGAGATCACGCTCAAGCGCATCAGACGAACTGACACGAGATGAAGGATTTCCAGACAGTTGATCATCGATTCGGCCTAACTGAGTTCGCTTTGGCCAACAGCAGCTCCCCCGATTAGAGGGTTTGCACCCGCAAGGAATGGCCGGCATAGCCGACTCCTGTTTGCTGCCGTCGCAAAATAACAGGTGGGGCCACTGGACCCGCATCAGTAAGCCGCTCATGGTGGAGGTATATATCTATGGAGTTGTGCTCACGGAGGAAGGTTGGCTCCTAAGGTCTGTTCGTACCACGCAACGCGACGGCTTTCTGCAACTTTTGACCTCTTTTGACCTTGGGACCATCATCACGAAGACGACCTGCGATGCCTATCTTCCGCTTCTTATATGCTTCTTGACATGTTCGCGCCGGAGCGAGTTCCGAATAACGTGTCCCCATTTCGAGACGATCGTCGAGTCCGATCTCATTCTTTTTTGTTTCGTTAACTGCTTTCTATGTTGCATTCTTGTCATCCTGCGGGAATATGGTGTCGTCCATGGGCCCTGTCACTGTTCCCAGTTCTCTGTGTCTCCATATCAACTTTGTGACACGACCCGCTCAGGGAATATGCGCCCACTTCGCGCTGCTTCACCTCATCCCCGCTCTTTTTTTGTTTGAACTCCAACTTCCTGCGCCCCCTTTTCTAAGTTCCTCTCGTGCTCTTCCGATCTCTTCTCATCGCCTTTGCTTCATCAGCGTCATTCCCCAAACCCGGCTTCGAAATAGGCGCAAGGACCTTCCACCTCTGACCACGGCCTCTCAAAGTCGCAACGGTTGACTCGAAGGATAGGCTCGTCTCTCTCCGAAACACCATCGCGAGCCATAGAGGGGGCCCTCAGCTCGATCGAACGACCAACATTGCACGCGAAACGTTGAATCAGACGAGCTCGTCGTCAGGCCGGAGTTGCTGGCTCAATAAGCAGAGAGCAACAACGGTCCTGGCCCCAACCCTGACGCTACCTACAAGTTCATCATGTGGGCTCTCCCGCGGCCGACGGCTTCGGAAGGCCATGATGGAGGCCTCATCTCGTCTACGCCGCATGCTTCCCACGAGCCATACCCTCTCCACTTCATGCCCGGCTCGCGTGGCTCCTGAAAGCCCGTCTCCTACACTCATTTCGGGTCCGAGGGCCTCTCCAGCACGCTCAGGGTAATGGGGCTCTGGGATCTCCACCTTGCGCAAAAGCACCGGTACTTTGCCAAGATCGCGCTCGAGGACAGGTTTATCGAATGCAGCTCCTTCTACCCCGATGTGCTGCCCGGCAGCCTCGACACCGCCGCCACACCCTGAGGCCGATCGAGTTTTCACGCAATAACGACGAGTTCATCACGGCTCATCTCTCGCGACTACCTCCTCTTCTAAAGCCTAGTCCAAGAGTGCGTCAGCGCCGTCAGTCCTACGCACACGTCTATCTATGGAGACAGCGTCATAATCGCGGCCAATAGGCCCGACGAGCGGGCTCGACACCGGGACGCTGTCCACTCTAAACTGTGCGACGAGGGTTTCTGCGCCCGGGGAGTGATCGTCGAAGAGGCCCCCGTGATTCCCGACGTGTGCGGCTTCCAGCTGGGGCACCGCAAGCTCAGCCCGATATACCTATACGAATCCATCCTCCGGCTGAACCCCAATTCTGGGAAGGAAATGGCCAATTACGTCGCGATCGTGGATCACCTGTGGCAGAAGTGGGCCGACCAGAAGGGCCTCATCGAACATCGACGGCGGGACGTCGTCGAGATGCTCGGGAGGCACGCGGACAGCAGCAGCAGCGGCAGTGGCGGCGACTGGCCCGACGACCCTGGATTCTTATCGCGTTTAGCTCTGTCAGGAGGGATGTCAACAAGATTATGGCCGAGGCCGACCTACAAGGACCCCAGGTCGCGCTCCTAATCACTTGCGTCGCCCACGGCCAGATGGCCTTCCTAGCCTTCAGTCTCCCAGCCGTGCCGCAGGAGTCCAAAAAGATCGACACTATGCTCAAGGCGGCCCCTTTGGGCGTGGCCCCTTTCGGCGTCGCCATCGAGCGGCTGAGCGAGGACCAGCTCGAGTGGTCGGACGTGGCGAAGGAGCTCTCCGCGGCTCGCTGGGCGATCTCTCTCATCCCTGGCCCGCCCGGGACGGAGATGACCACATACTGGGCTTCCCGCAGCCTCGCGCCCGATTTTTGGAATAGTAGGAGGCTGCTGGCAGATCCGGTCATTGACTCAGCCATCCGCGCCATGCCGCAGCCCAGGCTCCTGCAGAACGCGGCTGGCCTGGATCTGGATACGGACATGGTCCGGCTCCTCGTCCCGGCCCGCACGGGCGACGACGCAGGTGCTGCCTCCTTCAAGCACCGCGTGGCCGACGCCTTCAAGGTTCGCGATCTGCTCTCCCAGGAGACTATGAGTTGCGCGTACCCTTTCGTCCCCTACGCTCCGAGTCACCCTGTGGAGGTGCTCGGAGCGGGCTTGTACGTCAATCTCGACGACGACTGGATTCCGGTAGGGAGGTCTTAGAGCAAGGTGTGTTAGAACGATGTGGGCATCATGGCTTCGATGTTACCCATCGGGAACGGGGATGAGGGACAGGTTTGATGGCGCGATGATAAGTCAGATGCGGTTGAGGGGGTGCGAGGGATTTGGGCACTGTTAGAGTCAGCCGACCAACGGGACGGATGATGAGGCATGAGACGAGAGATAGAAAGAGACAAGGGAGGGAGAGAGAGAGAGAGATGAGGAGGGGGACATGAGCTAATTCTGGTGGGACCCGGCCTACATCGTTTTGGTTTTGTACGTTTACTGGAACTTGATTTGGTGAGTTGTAACTCTCTGCTGTGGATAGCGTACCAGAGCCCTGTTGATGTCCAACCAAAGACAATAGATAGCTTTGGCGTCAACAAGTGAGCAGATCACGGGGCTGGAGTAAGGCTCCATGCCCATATAGTAAATATATACTTGGCTTGCTTGCTTGCTTGCTTGACTGTTTGTCTACTTGCTTGCTTTCTTAGCTACTTGTCTGCTTGCTTGCATGCTTGTCATGACCCTCTTCCCCCCCCCCCTCTTCTCTTCAAGCTTCAGGCATGTTCCCTTCGCCAAACTATCGCCTGAGTCGTCTTTCCTTTCCCCAGGCTAGACTATATGCTCACCCGCGGACTCGGGCTTGTCATGATATGACTCCCCTCTCTATCTACCTGCTACTGCCGAGAGGTGTCCGCTTTCAGGTCCATTTCCACCCTAGCCCAGTATGTCCCCCCGACTCAGTGGTCGCTAGCGGCAGAAAATATTGCTCTACTTCCCAAAAATAGGCAGACGGGTGCGGCTTTATACAAGGCTGCGCTCGCGCGATTGCGGAGACAGCCACCTACCCAAAACGGAAGGCACACGATCCTTATCGAGCCGGCCCTGGTTCATAGCCCTAGACACCTGCGCCTACAGGGATGGCCCAGTTTTGTGTGCAGCTTTAGCTTGATAGTGCGATAATTCTGTAATATCCCAAGTGTAAGGCAAGCTCCTGGGTCTCAAGCCCCGGCAACCGGCGAACGAGGGAGAAAGGGAGGGATCGAGGCGGCCATGGTTTGCAGCAACTACAATATACAAAAATGGCGCTGGTGGCTGGGGCCTCTCTTTTTCTTTTCTTGACCACTTTACTTGCAGCCTAAGCGTCTCATTCTCCTCCGGACGCCCCTGCCTAATTCTCCGTCCCTGACACCATTGTGAAGCATCACCACGCTTCCGTCTCGCACCCGCATTCACAGACTGGGATATAGTAAGTTTCAGCCGTCCAGGCCAGGCCAGCCCGGCACCGAGCAACTTCCTTGACACCCGGTTGCTGACATTCTCACTGGTAGCCTGCCGCACGACCGCAGGCACACCAACATCCATGGCCGAGACACGGCAGTCCAAGGTGGCTACGGGAGCGGAAAAGATCCTTTCTGGCCTCCTTATGGCCAAGGCGGGCGAGTTTCTTCAAGGCACGGCCTAACAGCCCGTGGTGGTCTCCTTCCTCGACATTCTTGGCGGCTGGCTTGCCACGATCGAAGGCCGTGGCCTCATTTTCTACCGCTCCTGCTCCTATCTCTTCGTCAACAACGTTCTTTGGGTCGCTTTCCAGGTCGTCCCCATCCCGTTTACGCTAGCTTGCAAGATCCTTTCATGGATAAGTCTACTCCCGGCACAGACCGTGAACAGTAAAATACGCTGTAGGGCGGCGTTTTCACCGCGTGACTCCCTAAGGCGACCTGCTAAGCGTGGCGAAAAGACTGAAGGTGAAAAAAGACGGGCACGGGCACTACGCACTGCGTACTGGCGCTACACACTACGCACTGATACTACGCACGAGACACTAGTAGTAGTGGTGGTAGTGGTAGTGGTAGTGGTAGTGGTAGTGATAGTGACGCTTTGAAAATCGCTGTCCGTATTCTCACCTTATTGGCCAAAGGCCAACTGGCACGTGACGTTAGAAAAAACAGCCAATCGGATCTCAATATTCTTCCGCACCAATTAAATCCACGGCTTCTTTGACGAAGTTGCCCTGTAATACTGTTTTCGCTTCGCTCAACAGGATCATCTGCCAGCTCCCCGGGTTTGTCGTCGCGATTATCTGGTTCGTCCTGACGAGCGGGCGCGCCTCTTTATCCACGTGGGCTATCGTTTGTTTCTTGAAAAGTAACTGTCCGCTTCACGCGGGACGGTACTCGCCTCATCCCTTCTAGCTACTCTCGGGAGCATCTACTTTCGGGAGCATCTATGAATTCATCGAGGTCAACATGACCATGTCATGTTTTTATTTGTATTTACTGCTACAGTGGGAAATCCTGTCGGATCTGGGGCCATTGGCATCGCATTGTTCTACCTCGCTGCTTCTTTTATACTTTCTCACGAGACTTGAAATTCAAGTTTGGGTTGGCGGGCAACATCGCACAGGCCGTGTTTGGCTGCCCATCACAATATGAATCACCATCGCACTCTTCCACCTGTGTACTTCGTGTTTTTTCTTCTTTTCTACATTTTACCTCAGGAAATCACAATACCTAGTACAATGTAACCTCTTTCGTGATGAAAATTTTCCCTCGGCCTCATCGATGTCGAAATTTTCGTCCCGGTGTAGCCTCGGCCAGGCAGGACAAGAGAGCGACGAAAACGGAAGCTGGGAAGCAGAAGCTGGTCGCCTGAAGAGACGTGCGTGCGTCAAAGCTGCTGCAGATCTGCTCTTGCACATCCCAACCCGTGAAGCCGAGGCGTAAAAGAAGCGTGGAAAAACTCGAGAGACTGAGAGGCTGCGGGGAGGGGGATACCGGCGCAAGCGGCAGCCGTTGGAAGAGAAATGTCGATCGAGTAGCATCAAGTAAGCAAGGAGAGTTACTGTGGGACTACTATGGTTGTATTCTCAGTTTTCTGTGTGACCAGAAAAGATCTACCTAGTGGTCGCGTGCTAGCGCGCTAGCGCGTCCTGCGGCAGGCAGTGGCGCAGTGTCACTCAGTCGGCTAACCTTCCCATTAGGGTTAGGGCAACACCTTCCCCTCACACCTTCCCATTAGCGTAATGTGTGGACTCGTGTCCTTGGATGGAGTAAAGGACACATTGACCAAGGGAGGCGGGCATGGTGGTAGTGTCGCTCTGAGGCCCGGCGCACAAGCCGCCTGAGCAAGGACAGAGGAACGGGAAGCGTAGGCGTAACCACGCGGGCAAACCATATTGGTTCCCATGGCAGACCGGAAACCAGTCCGTTAAGAGCAAGAACATAACCATGAGCACCGTCATAACAATCGTTTTGAAGAAGGAGGAAGTCCTCTGGTGGTTCCAAGGGACTGGCCCGGGCCTCTCGCCGGCTGCCTCCGGGTCAGGCAAGGCCAGCATAGAGAATTCGCGGTATTAGCAAGCTCGGTCAGAGGTGACCCAGCCCATTTCGGCCACTCTATGTCGTTCTGCAGGTTGCACCATCGGGTCGCGGGGAGACGTGAAAGCAGGCACGGTGGAATCGGGAGGCCGAGGTGGATGTAGATGCTTCCTTCTGCTTCTTGGAACGTCCGGGCACGGGAAGAGCCCCGGTAGGCTTCTGTGTCAGGAAGAAGAAGCAGAAAATCGGTGTTGGGGTCACGCGTCCTCTGATGTGGGTGCGGAGAGGGAGACAGCCGAGAAGCTCGGCAGGGCCGGGAACGGCTCTATCTTATTTAATATACGGAGGCTTTGCGGCCCTGGTCGCCTTCTCTTCGGGCGTAGTACTCCCCCTTCCCATACACCCCAGCAGGGGCTGAGGTAATCGATGAAAACCGGCTTTCGCTCGCCCGACAAGTCGTGGAACCCGCCGTCTTTGCCACCAGAGAGCATCCTGTCATCACTCCCTGAGTTCGGCAGCCGATCCCGAACATGCGAAGTCATAGGATGTACCACTAGATAAGACTCAAATCCCCAGTTTCATTAGGCCCGGTCTCGCCCACGTATGAGTGTGCGCTATGTTTGTAACCCTTGGACCGCCGATTGCTTTATGCAACCGAATAAGAGCAATGAAAATCACCCGTTTCGTATATTCACCGCCCGGCGTAACTATCGCCCTAACCCTATTGGGAAGGTTAGCCGACTGAGTGACACTGCGCCACTGCCTGCCCCAGGACGCGCTAGCGCGCTAGCGTGCAACTACTAGATAGATCTTTTCTGGTCACACAGAAAACTGAGAATACAACCAAGTAGTCCCACAGAAGGATGCGTCGAGCTCTCGCACGCGTACGGTATTATCTTCCGGGACGGAGGACAGAGCAGGGCAAGGAAGGACAGGGAAGGGCAGAGTAGGGTGGGAAATGTGGCGAGTGTTAGACAGGACAGACGAGGGAAGAGAATGGCCTTTTAGCACGGCTTGAACAGCCTATAGCTCGCTCTGCGAGAGAACTTGTATCTGTACCAGGCCTGTTCTACATACTGCCATGCTGCAGCAATTAGGCGCCCGTTTCGCATGTAGATGCCTCCATATCATCACGCCATGTCAGACCACTTCGGGTTCGGCGTAATAGATGGTACATACCCGTATCAACAAAGAGGGCCTAATGATTTATTACGGGTACGCAGCGTCATAATGTCATACATCATACAACAAGGAAAAATTCATTCTCCTTCTCCCTCTCCCGTACCCCTTACCCCTTCCCTTACCCCTAAGAAGCGTACCGTCCGTACATCGTTATCACAAACAGTGCAGAAGAGCACGTGACTGGTAGGGGAGAAGTATGCTCCTGCGCCACCGTACCTCAGGAGGAAGGGGGGAGTAAAAGGACTCCTCGGACGACCCCAAGCCGTTTCAGGTTTGCCAAGCCCAGACAAGAAAGGCACGCTTGCCGCACCTAGGAAGCTTTTTCTCTTAAGCTTTGAGTCTTGTCACTACTGTACGTAAAGGATACTGTCACCCGGAAAGCAGGGCTGTTACAATGACTGTTACAATACGCTTCCCGGCCGACAACACCCCATGGGGTGAACGGCCCCCAATGCCAAGGCGGCCCCAATGCCAAGGCGACCCCCAATGCCAAGGCGG